TACTTCGGTTGTATATCAGGAATATAGAAGAATTTTTTGAATAGTTTATGTTACAGATTGACAGTAACTGAAACAACCAGTAGAAACCAAAGAACACTAGATAGTTAATAATAATAATAATAATAATAATAATAATAATAATAATAATAATAATAATAATAATAATAATAATAATAATAGTTGTTTCGATCAAGTATGGAAACCCTCAATAGTTCACATTCATGACTACTGGTATACCGTTCTGTAATCCACATCTACAATCTCAGTAAAGTTGTGGTATTACGCTATCACTGTTTATTGTGATAGGTGATATCTGTATGTTAATCCTGGCCTTATCAAACTCCATCGTTCTTATATTTTTATTAGAGTTTTGGAATTTTCTGAATTCAATCATCAGTAAGCTAATGATTTATCAGAATGAAAGGATTATAGTGGTTGTACAGTTTAGAAATTATTAACATCACAGACATTGACTTCATCTGGACATCCATTGAAAACCAGGAAATGTTAAACAGCTGTTTTTGTCTAGGATGGGACCATCCAGAGATCTTGTACATAAAACTTACACTTCCAGAAAATCAGTGGTTGTACTCGACATAAAGTCATAGCTCATAGTGCAAATCATAGTTAAATATGCAGATTTTCTGTCCAACGCAGACTGAACTATTAATTTTATAAAAACTGGAAAATCTTTCACGAAATTCATGAATTATTGAAGGATGTTTATAAACCTAAAATATTAAAGAAAATGGCTCTTTTCATGTATATCGTGCCTTTCAGATGAATGTCATGAAAACTGGTAGGCTGATACAAGACCATCGGTCAGTCCGTGAGTCAGCAACAACGTAGGACTTCGTACGTACGTACATCAGTTCAATTCGCCATACTACACTAGCACTGAGATACAATTGTCGACTCAAATCCCGTAGTGGTAGAGGTAGTAAAAGTATAAGCAGTAATCGGAAACATTAGGGTTTGAAGATGCTATTCAAGAAGTGTAATCCAGTGAAATAAATTTGGAAAGAGAAAAAAGAAACACAAATAATTCAAAAGATTAGAATTTGAAAGAACACAAAGAGTGGATACAAGACCATGGTAACTATCAACCTCCTGTATTGATGAAGTCATGAGACGTGTGAGACCCATTATGTTTTCTGATCGTCACTTTACTTTCCAGATGATTTTTAATGAACTAGATTGGGGAAGTCATATATGCACATGGTTCTAACAAAGTGATGCATTTTGAAAGCCTTATGTACCTGAGGGCATCCAGAAATGTTATGGACATTCGAGACTGAAGTGGAATAGTTGTACTGATAAGAATATGGAGCATTTTGAAGGAAATATGATTCGTATATTCCCTAGATTTTGTGAAATAAATATTTTATGCTGTCAGTTTACATATTTATAGGATGGAGTTGTTTACGAAGTCTAAATACTGAAAAATTGTAAACCATTTTAAGAAAAAAATTATTATTTACCTTAATACAGCCATTTTTGTTACGAGTTATGTAGAATAGGTGGTTTGTAGCTAGTAGTGAAATATATGATGTGCGTTTTTTCCTATTTGTGTCCCGTTAGCTGAGTATGCTTGCACCTCAGTGCTGATTTTTACACTAGGATTCGAACGTGTTACTCTTCGCCTCAAATGCTCTATGCGTTGTCCACCAAGCTACTGACGAGTTCCATATGGGATGAAACCACGTCCTGGAATCCACTGCCAGTCAAAGTCTATTCGTTCTATTTAACTTTAGCAAAACTACCCATTATTATTATTGTTAATAGCTTTATTCAATATTATGTGTTTAGTGCAGTGTGAAATTTTCAGCACACAATATTTCAACAAGTTTCCCTCGCAAAAATCAAAGAAATAGATAACTGCATCCATGAAATAAGTAAACAAAGAGTCTGAAATTAAATGAAATCGAGGTAATCCGCACAGGATGCTTATATACCAACAAAGACTGATCAAATCTCGTTAATAATGTCAGTGGGATAATTCAGAGTATTTGGGTTTTGAATGTATGGAAAATATCTTCAAACGAGAGATTATATTTGTAGAAAATCTCAGCAACTGAAATTATAAACGATCAAACGGGTATTTAGTGTGATATTTGCTCGTAGACGTTTACGCTAAGCGGTTATCTTAATCGAAAGTTATAATACGGTTAAAAAGAAATGCCATCAGCAAATTTCCTACATATGACTACTAAGTGTCAATGGATTTATTTTAACTAATGGACGTATCTTAGTGGTTAATTATATTCACAATATTTGGAAAGTGTGACCTTTATTATTTGCATTGATCCACAATGTAAGTGGCGAAAAATCTCCACTCATAATGGTTACGGATTACTGAAAACATTTGACTGCGGTTATGTCCAGTTTGTGATTTCAGACCCTACATGATGCTATACTTGTTTCTTGACCGGTAGGTTAGTGATTAAAAAGCTTTTAGCTAACAGCAGGTTACAGGTTCGAACTCCATTCCACATCATCCAGTTTTGGTAACGAGGTAGTAAAATTATGGCTCGCACAAATTGTATTTTATTTTTTATCGACTCATTTGTTTGGTATAGATTAGTTTTCAAAGCCTATTCCCCTACTTCAGCTTAGATAGCTAGATTGCTATCATTATTTTTCATACTTAGACTGGGCTTGAAAGCCAAGTGTACAACTATGTACCTAATAACTGACTGAATAAAATAAAAATTCAGGTATCTCCTCTTCCGCTGCACATTTGAAACTTATCCACAATCGGTTTTCATATTTTCTCTGATCACTTTGATCATATATAGAGATTTAACTAACAAAGACAGATTACATTGTAATATATGAATATTTAATTGTATTCATTGTAATGAAAGTAAACGAGAAAAATGTTTTCAAGCCCATTTTTGTTTTAAACGTCCTCTTATCAGTGTGATGTTTATAGTACAGTCTATGTAATCTCTTCATGTAGTTATATTACTGATTTCAAAATAAGCCATTTACAATGCAAAATATAATATTTTGTACTATTAGTAGTGAAATGACAGAATAATGATCGTTACTACCAAAGGTCATTTTAGTGTTGTCGAATTTAACCTAAAATTTACAATATATACTTTTCTGCTTCATTCATATATAACTTCAGACACTGCGTCAAGAATTATGTGAAAAATACTTATTTTTAAAAAAAGGTTAATGAGTCAAGTAAGGATAGTAGTGACGAACAAGTCTGAGTTTATTGACTTTTATTTACTCATAAAATAATGGTCAAATCGAATGATTCACAAATGTTCTATACCTAGTACAAAAAACAATATCTGGTTCTTAGATTTATAAGATTAATGGTAAACCATATAAAATCATGAACGGGAAATATAACAAACTATTAGCATATACTTGGATGGTATATGTTGTTAAGTAATTACATGTTTATAGTTTACACTATTTTTTCCCTTTAATTGGTAGTTGGTCATTTATTGCTATAGTGGCCAATATCATGTTGATCGAGTTCGTTAGATCAAGTCACAACATTAACTGTCCACAAGTGCCCTGTTGCGACTGAGGGAGTGGGAGAGTCCGCTCACAAAATAGTGTCAGTTTTGATTAAAATGAGAATTCACTCTATTAAAACAAAGCAGTCAAGTAAGGAAACAAATGCCCTGGCACAGCTGAGGGTAGGGATAGTCAGCTCTTCCTCTCCAAATACTCTCATATGACCACGTGCATACAACCACTGTTAGGGAAGTCCTACTTACTGCCTTCTCGCGGTGAGGGTGTTATTTACGAAATTGAGAGGATGGAAAGCGAATGTCTGGCGCTTTAACCGAGTCGGTGGTTACGAAGAACCCATCTAGAGATGTTGGAAAACTCTGATTCCGAACCAATGGTGCACATGGGCTCCAAGATCCTGAGGGAATATATAGAGTACGAACCTATTGTCGGTCACCGGCTACCATGGGACAGCATCTCCTGACGTTGCTCCACTGCCTTGTGGATTAGACTTCTAGGTTAAAGGCTCATGGATTGGCCCCTTAAGAAAACCCACATGCTTCGGTTTAGGTACCCAGGCAGTCTCTCCCAGCCCTCACACATCGAATGGTTTATGTGGTGCATATGTATTTGGTGCCTCCTTGTACCAATGTTTATGTGTTTAAATAAATAAATACATTTTAAACCTGTCTGTAGTTTTGCTCAAGTCGATCAGACAACTGCATTTTATCCACATCCATATCTGAAACCAGCCTAGTTTTCTTGGGTTCGCTATTAACGAATGTTAGTTAAGCGTCGGACGATTACTAAATCTAGTATTTTAGGCACTCTATTAGTCAGACGAATTTCTGGTCTGACCTGTAATCGAAACCATTCAGATGGGATTACGTTTAGTTTCCGAATACTAGGTAATATATCAGTCATTTTCATTAATAAAACTAGACCATCACCTGTTACTGATCTTTAAAGTTAATTTATCAGGTTCCATTGGTTTTCCTCGCCTCAAATAAGGTATAACTTTATCAATTTCTTCAAAATAATAGATAGTTTATGTCGATTGTTTGAAAGTAGTATGTAACTCAAGACCAGTAAGATTGTTCTTTGAAGTGTTTTCCCTATCGTTCCAATCGTTTCGTATTGTGAGTCGATTAGAGTCCTGTCTTTTTGGAGATAGACTATATATATATATATATTATTGTATCAACTACTAAATTATCAGTTTAATTAAAATGTTTCATATCTCTAATTTTAGCTTCATTGAATATTTCAAAGTGAACAGCAATTACTCTACATAATAATAATATTCATAACATCTTTAACATTGAACCATCAAATTGTGATCAATTCAAACATTGAATCTATTTTTCTTCCTGTAATTCATCTAAACAGAAATTGGAAAAGTTATACTATTGGTAGTAGTAGTAGTAGTAGTAATAGTCGGTATAATTCACAAAAAAATGACGGTTGACTTTCTATCATGTGGAACATGTTTTGTTACTTTTCGTCTCTCTGATATTAATATGTTTATTGAGCATAAAAAAGCAAGTTGTTGTTTCTTGAAATCACCGTTTACTTCAAATTTAGAAAATAACAAATATCCTTCATTGTTACCATCATTAACATCATCATCAACATCGTCGTTTTCTTCTACACCTCCATTGATGACATTATCATGTTCAAATGTTATGGACAATATTAGTAATAATAATAATGATAATAATAATAATACTTTATTAGAATCACAAAATAGTAATACTATCTTTTTAAAATGTGTTCAATGCTCTCGTAAATTCACAACTCCATGGACATTTTTAATGCATGTTCAAGTTGAACACCAATTAATATTTATTGATACAATTGGAAAATTTTCTAAAACATATGAACAACAATTAAAAAGTACATTATCATCAAATGTTGAAGAATTATTGAATGAAACTAATGTTGATGTTGATGATAATGATGAGGATGACGATGATGATGATGATGATGATGATCAGTGTGAAAATGGTGTACTGCATACAATTGATAAATTACTCTCAGAAAAAGTGAACAATTCCGATTCTGATACAACAATTACTTCTACTATTACGAATGATGATAATAAATATATTAGTCCTAATAATAATAATAATACAAATAGTACTACTGATACACCTACTATTACAAGTAACACTGCTCATACCGATAACAGCAGTAGTATTAGTATTAATAGTAACAGTCATAATGCATCAACACAAACTTATCTAACTGGAATTAAACAACACAGTATACCTCATAGAAAACGTAAATATGTTAGTTGTTGCATAGGTGAATCAACAGTGACTTGTAATAGACTTAACAATATAAAAACTTGTTCAAACGTAAAAAGTTGTAATCTTACACTTTCATCGTGTTGTAATAATTTATCGACAGGAATATGTCCATATAATTTTAATAGCAATAATAATAATAATGATAACAGTAATAATAGTAATAATAACATTAATGATAATAGTAGTAATGGTAGTTCTATGAATTCTGATATATATGTCAGTGATTATTGTTGTACTACTGGATCAATTATTTGTAAACCGACAACATGTTCAAATTTATTAAATACTAATGAAATAGTTACACAAGATACATCAAGATGTACTGCATCTACGGCAATTGTTAGTTGTTGTATGCGTAAACTTGTCTGTTGTACATCAACACCGGTAACATTACCAATATGTTGTGATCGATCAATGCAAAATGAAATTAATAATAATAATAATTTTATTATTCAAGAAACAAAAACTACCAATACTGCTCGAATTACATGTTGTCCTTGTTCACCGAAAAGATCAATAATCAGTCAGTCATCTGAAGTACAAACTGATTTCGATCCAGAATTCAGTTATTCTGATTATGCTGATTTAGCAATGTTATTAAATGCAGCTACACCGACAACAATTACAAGTCCATTAAATTCAATATTATCACCACAATTACCATTATTATCAGATATGATCATACAACAATCATCATCACCTCCAACATCACCACAACAACAAAATAATGATAATGATGAATATTATCAAAATATTGAATTAAATTTAAAAAATGACATAATTAATAAACCTTATATTAATGTTGTAAATAGTAGTAATTCTAAAATAAATGATAATTATTTATCACAAATTGATCATATCAATAATACAAATACAGATATCAATAATGATACTTCAATTATATTGAATAATTCCTCATCATCATCATCGTCAACAATAACGACAACAAATGTTGACATAGATGTGACAATGAAATCAATGCCTGTTTCATCTGGAAATGCTGTAATTACATCGAATGTTAATAATAATGATAACATGATCACATCCACTGCCAATGTTATCTTTCAAATGCCAACAATAATGCATACAAATTTGATTGCTTGTCCTAATATTGATAATAAAAGTAATAATAACAATAATGTCAATAAGTATTACTGTGATTCAATTCCACCAAGACGTTATATCTGTCGTGATTGTGGTACATCATTTCGTCAAAATGTTCACTTACGTAAACATATCATGATACAACATACTAAAGTGAAACCATTCAGTTGCCCTTATTGTCAATATACAACTGTTGAAAAAAGTCATCTTACTGTACATATACGTACTCATACAGGTGAAAGACCATTTAGTTGTCGTGAATGTAATTATTCATCCGCTCAAAATTGTACATTAAAATCACATTATTTACGTAAACATCCAACTAATTTAATTAAATGTAATTATTGTTCTGAATTATTTTTTACTGAATTAGAATTAACTAAACATCTACGTGGATGTAGTTTATCTTTTCGTCAACAGTAACAAATTATTATTGTAAATTGTATTATTTTTTTAAAAGAAGAAGAAGAAAGTGATATTACAATTGTAACTCCGGTGTATTTTCTTCGTAGAATCATAGTAACATGGTGTTATTTGTACAGGTTAGGCTATTATTATTATTATTATTATTATTATTATTATTATTATTATTATTATTATTATTATTATTATTAGCACTATCAACATTGTCTGTGATTATTTGTATATTATCATTGTTATTTGCTGTTGTATTCACTATTAATATCAATACTATTACCACTATTAACTGTTACGATTGTCTTTATTGCTTTTCGATGTATTTATATGATTTGAATCACTGACTGATCTTAGTTAGATAACGACTTAAATCGAAGAAGCACTGAATAGTTGTTCTGTCTTAATGTGTACATTTACAACTCCACCAGAAATTGAACCTGATACCTTTAGGTCGCGCTACGAAGTATTTAATCTCTAAACCACTGCATTGTCGTCCAATGGTTTACTGTCTGATTTCAGGTGTTTCACAGCTATTGTTTAATGCCATTATTGAGTAACTGTCTCACTGCCGACAAATTTAAACTCCACTGGTCACTGCTTTTAACTAGAACTCTGGGGATTACTGTTGCGTACCGCTGTCATTCATTTCATATACAAATATACACGCTTCCTATACGATTGCCCAGCCTACTGTGTGAGTGAAGTGACTAAGAAGCTGTAGGTGATATTCGAATGAAATATGCATCCATAAATCTGTATTTTTGACACAAACAAGTATATATAGACCAGTATCTTGACTGAGAACGTGATCTGCTTTGTTCGATAATATGGCTTGTGCATCATCTCTGACTTACGATTTGACCTTCCATGTTATGTGTTGTATGTGAATCCTCCAGATTTATGATTGATTACAGAGTTATGTTCGTCGATTCCCCCTAAATACTGATAATATTGTATTGAACAACATATATAAGCGAACAATATTGTTTTCGATTAGATCCTCATCAGGCTTTACTCTAATATATAGTAATATTTATATGCATATACGAAATTATTAAACCAATCAAGGTAGTTTATAAGTCAATGATAATAATGAAAACGATTACAAAATAAGTGAAACGTGAAAAGTACAAATTGATGGTGTGACAACAGGTGCGTTAGTTTTGATAACAATAATAGAGGTTCAAACCAATGTTACATAATCGGAAATAGGTCAATGATTAGAAAAATATAGAAACTGAGATAACAATTATAAAGTTATAAGATGACGTAATAAGAAATGTTCAGATAATTGGACCATATTGTATTGATCAAATTTTGATGTGGTCACGAGCCTGAGTAGACATTAGATGTTAAATACATCCAAACACATAGCATCAAAACATATTACACGCGATGTCTGTTAACTTAGACTAGTAACGATAATGCATTAAAGGACTAGACTAACACGACACTTCGCTACTCACTGATCGGAAAGTTATACAATAAAATTATAACGATTTTCGGTACATTAGGAAAAGTGATCGAGTTGTTAAATAGTCTAGTAACTTACTCAGATCACTACCACTAATTCCGTCATTTCATGATATATAGAAAATACGTTGGTGATCAGTCCTAGGCATATATTTTGATGTCAACGTTTACTTGTAATCAAGACTTCTATGAATCAATGTGCATGAACTCATGTATTTTGTGTTCAACAAATGAGCCAGTGAAAAGCTAGTTAAGTGGATAGATTTCAAAGTTCTCACTAACAATGTGCAATAACTAGTGGTGATGATTTATAGATAATCATCTCATTGCACATGATCCCTTCACTATTCACATTTAAATGAAGGAATCACATCTACAACTATTAGCTTGCCTAAATCATTGGATATCAGATATTTATAGGAACTTCTGTGGTCATAGTAGAGTTGTCAGTCACTATGGATACCGTCCTATTCTTCAAAAGGATTTCACGCAGAAATCGTCCTCTTCGAGATATTTATCACGGTTCATTAAATAATCGAAAGTTTCATCTCAATAGACTTAATTTCATAACAAACTTCTCTTCGATTCATAATTCAACACCCATAAACATCTCTTGAAAATGATTTTCAACCTTATTATTCCAAATAAATATATGAGACGACATAACTGTCATAATAAGAATAGAGAATTGGTTCTCAAATTGAAAAATTACTGGTTTTGTTATTGTGCATCCTGTGCAGATTGTTTCGAGTCCCGGAATGAACATCAACTTTAGGGTGCAGGTACATCCAGCTGATGAGTCTCAAATAGGACGAAACGTGCGTCCTGGATTTCACTAGACACTATCCACCTTTCCTTATAAGGGTTATGACTTAAGGCAATATCGCGGCAATCCGCACATATACCGACAAGTGACTGGCGAATTGCAGTCCTAAACAACAATGGGAAGATCCAAACAACCAACACAAAATGAGTTTAAACTTCACCCCATTGCTCAAGCTAGCGGCTATTAGGACTTAATAGCTGGGTGGATAACGTGATGGTGTCTGAATAGAACGATACTGGGTTCAAATCCCGAGGCGAACATCGTCTCAGATGCAGGTACATTCATCTGATGAGCCCCAAATAGAACGAAACGTGCGTCCTGGGTTCCACTGCTAACCAATTTCATCTATGCTTATAACTAACATTATTATTTATCAATACATTTTATTTTTACTAGAATTACAAATAATGTTTTCCGTATCATCATTACAATTTAAATAATTTTGAATTTAATAGGAAATATTTGTTTCACCAATATACTCGTATAGAATATTCATTTAAGTTGTATAACTATTATTGTTATTATTATATTGAACAGATAGCTAACATATACAATGTGTGTGCTTCCCGATAGTGTGTTTTATATAATCAAATTTTCGTTATTACAAGGTTATTAGTTCAATCTAAGCTTTGAATATAGGAATTCAGTAGTGGTAGTAGTGTAGTGAACGGACACTCAGGTGGGTAGTATTAATTTATATATATATATATATATATATATATATATATATATATATATATATATATTACAATCTAAAAAACTTCTATCAGAAGGATACACTATTAAAATAAAGAGTAATGATCTCGCAGTTGATTGATCACTTGGTGGTGATCAATGTCATGTGTGTCATGTCCTTATTAGTGCGGATCGAATGCTATCGACCATGTTGCAATGTGGCCACCAGTCTAGGTGACTCGACATTGCCTCCAACCACCATCTAATCTCACAATAGTGCACGCAGTGTCGAGTCACTTAGACTGCCATATTGCAACATGGCCGATAGCATTCGATCTGCACTAATAAGGACTTGACATTGACCACCACCCAGCGATCAATCAATTGTGATTACATCTCAGTCCTACAGGAGGTTGGTTGCGGCCCGGATAGCTCAGTGGTAACGTCTCTAACTATGAAGCTGGGTGACACGGAGTCGAATCGTTCAGGGAGCACCAGTTCCCTCAAGGTTACAGGTACACCTTGCTGACGAGTGCCAACTAGCACGAAACCCGGGTTCAGGGTTTCCTGTTGACTACCTCCAACTACCATCTAATAGTAATGATCTGTCCAATAAATACGAGAGTTGAGGTTGGTCTTCATAAATATAATTAAACAAATCATTCTATGACATTATACTAAAGCGTCCAACATCTTGACTTAATTTGATATTGGTGGCTTATATTTATTTCAATACTAATAAAAGTTTATATTTCCATAATATGAGTATGTTTTATTTCACTGCATAAAACTGTACATAGAGTAAAGTATTTAAAGACACTTGTTGGACTATTCAAATAAAAAAACCTCATACCATATTTACGACTAGATTCAAAAGTTGGTTATGCCATTTAAAGAGAGATAGGATACATATCCGTGAGTCTGTACCGAATTCGTTTGTCAGTTTTCAATGTGTCTGCGGTATTAGAATATTTCAGGAAGTTTTCCGTTCATTTCATAAGTAAGTGTAGCAAATAAGTTAACTTTCATTGGAGACCTCATTTCAAGCTCTAACTATCCCTTTTTTCATCCGACAAGTTGGGATGCTCTACAGTGTCATGTTCATAGTTGATATCTTAGATGGTTGAAATGAAATTATCTGTGAAAATTCTATCTTTTTAAGCCTTCATCCATTAGGCTAGACCGCCACTGAAAAACTGGAGGCACTGGACAGCCGTCTCATTTTAGTATGGAGCTTGTTAGCAGTGCGCATGCACGATCTCGCACACAGGACTTGGACCCAGGACCTTTGGTCTCGCGTGTGAACGATTAATCTCTAGATCGCTGAGCTGGCATTCAACGGTATTAATGTCTAACTTGAACGGATCCCGCTTGCGAGACCGTGGATATGCATTGTTGAGGAGTCCCATACTAGGACGAAACAGCTGTTCAGTGCTCCCAGATTTTTAATTATGGTCAGTTTAAATCGACTCATGAATTCAACTATCAGGTTAGTGCAATCTCCACAAACGCCCATTCTGATAATGAACCGAAAAATGTTTGAAAATGATAGAAATTGTACTTTTATTAGACAACAAAATAATAATGGTTAACCTCGAACTTATTTGAATTGAAAAACGTTCATAATGTAACCTTTTGTTCTTATCTCAAAGTATTACACTTTGAATAAACCACAAGTTACATACCCACACAAATCTAACAAATATTATATTCATTTAAAACTACTGGAGGGGTGGGAATGAGGGACAATGTTTTCAACTTGCGGGATATAAACTTTTAAATGTCGAATCTGTTTTCAAAATCAGTCCAGAGTTCCAATGAGAATTTATCTCCTTGTACTACTATCTTTATCTGTTTTTGTTTGACCTTGAATTTAACCTCAACACTTGACCTTTACACCATTGAGTTTTTATATACATTATATTCTATTTTGGAAAAATGTTCATAACAAGTATATGCTTGTATGACCAGTTCATTAAAAGCTAATTTATTCAAATACACTGACAATTATCAAACACGCTTACTTTATTTT